TTAAAACAGTTAATATAAAGAGCACATTTAACTGTATTAATGTAATAATAAATAAAAATATAAACCCAAGTATATAAAATCTATATAACTCTTATACTTTACTAAATAAGATAAATTTTATTTATCAGAGTAAATAATTGGATAATATATATTGTGTAATAGAGTTTACCAGGATGACCAAAATTATATGTATATTATAAAAGTATGAATTACCCCTGAAATTACTGAGTCTAACGTTTTGTATTTAAAAGATTTGAATATATTTTTAGATTTTTATTAAACCAAATAAAAATTTAAGATTGTCTGTTTAGTTAATAGCAAATAAACCAGATTTAACATTTTTGGAAACAATTATGGAATTAAGCATCGAAAAAAAACAAAAAAATAAATTCACAAATGAATAGAACTTATTTATTCTTATAAATCTATGTCAAACATGTTCGTATCCAACTTTTTAAGCATTTCATTGGCTTTATGATGACCTTTATAAGCTGACAACTTTAAGCACCTTAACCCCTTTTTCTTATCTATATTTACGTGCGCTTTTCCATGTAAATAAACGTCACCTAAACTATATAACGCTGCAGCATTTCCATTCTCAGCCGATTTACTCAAATTATCTAAAAATTTTTCTCTATTTTCACTTGTTCTTGGGATTGAAAATGCATACCAGAATTGTGCATCCGCTATACCTTCATCAGCAGCAATTTTAAACAATTCACGAGCTTCTGATTGATCTTTATCCTTTTGTTCTTTTGACCTTTCTGTGCCGGTTGGATACAATCCCTCCCATAAATAGTACCCTTTCCAATAGATACTAAGTGGACTCTTAAGTTTAGCATTATTTTCAAAGCATTTCCATGCCATTTCTCTATTTTCGGGTGTCTTAGATCTATGAAGCATGATTCCTTCTTTAACTGTTAAAATTTCAGTTATATTAGTATTATTTTGTGTATCTTCATGTATTGCTGAATCACTTTCGCTGCAAGAGTCAGCAGGTTTCAGAGATGATGATTTTTCATCAATAGATGACAATTCTAAAAGTCTTAAATATAATATATTTATGCTAATTCTTTCCCTTGGGTAATGTTTCCATGCTTTTTTTAAAAAAATAAAAACAATAGTTATTGTTACGTTAATCATACCATTTTACACTTGTCTTATTCTTAATTACCTTTCTGAATTAAATCTTTAAATCCATCTTTGATAATTTTGTCATGTGGATCAGGATCATCGAAGCTATCAAAATCATCAAAACTTTCTCTCATACCCTTTGTGACATGATTTATTAGATTTGTTAAAATCATATTCTCATAAGGAATTTTTTGACAGGCTAGCTCCCACATGAGCATCCCAAAACTACAATTATAATTGATTAATATATTAAACCTTAAAATATTCGACTTGCGAAGTAAATAATTACCTAAAAATATCGCATTCTTGTGCGTACGGTTTATAAACACATTCATAATCTTTGAGCATTTTTTCAGGCGCTAACCAATTGATCGTATTTGAAATATCAGAATGTAAACCTGTTTGCTTTATTGTATAAGTCAAATCAAAAGCAAGTTTTGGCTCATAATGACCTGTCATCTTTTAAATTAATTATCATAAATTAGATTTTAAATAATATTAAATATATTTAATTTGGTGATCCAATATATGTATAAACTGGAACATTGGGCTTATAGATTCTAAATCGAACGTATATGTCCAATTCCAATTCAAATTATTAGACTAATAAGGGTGACTGATTTAATCGGGTTTAAATTACTTACCATAACATTTTGACACCGAAGATGTCGATGAAAAATACCAACGGCATTCAAAAATGTAATTCCTTTACAAATTCCAAAAGCTATTTGGGATTTTAATGACCACGGGATTTTTTCTTTTTCATATAATTCCTTCAAATTCCCTTTTTCAGCCCACTCATGGACCATAATATCATTTGTCCCAGAGAGGCCATAAAATTTTAGAATATTTGGACAATCAAATAGTCTTCTTTGAATTGTTAAGTCATTATGTAATAGTTTCGTTTCAGTTTTAATGGTAATTTGCTTACATGCCACATTGATAGAATCTTTGTAAACCATTTTAATGATATTCATTAATTTTCCACGGCGCTCTTTGTCAGAACTTTCATGTAATAAATTTGAATCAATTGTTGGTATATCTATTATACTATTATTGGAATCAAACTTGTTTTTGTTACATTCGACTTCCAGATAAATAATATTAGTTTGCCCTTTATGATAATTAGAATACCTTTCCAAGAACTATTTTTAAAGAAAAAAAATTAGTATTATTGATAAAATAATTCTTATTGTATTCTCTATCTCACATAAGTATTATATAATACCTTTCCCGTTTCTTCAATGTCATTTTTTAAACATTCATCATCAATTTTTCTCAATAGAAACTTTAAACTATTCAAACCATTTTCATATTCCTTCATTAACTCTCTATAATTCTTTCCTATAGCCTGAACATTATCGACCCACTTTTCGAGCCCTCTTAATTGCGTCACTTGACTTGCAAAATCTTTTATTTTTTCTAATATATTTAAAAGTGTATTTAACGATTCTTGACATTTTAAACTTGCTATTTCTTTTCTAAATTGTTCTTTTTGAACAAATAAAGATTTTATAACTGCTTCTGTAGATAATAAACGACATAAAATAGATTTCGATATATTTTTATTATATTGTGCTTTTTCGTTGATCTGAACTATTTTTTGAAAAATTTCAGAAACGCCATTGAAAAAAGATTCGATTGTTAATAAGTTTTCTGTGTTAACTATTTCTAATTGTATGCTTGGTATTTCTATAGTTTTTGTTGATGCCATGTTAATACGGATATTGTTAATCAAAATATGTTTAAACGTTGAGGTATTCAAATGACTTATCGCGCTTTTATAAAATTTTTTGAAACAAAATAAATGTCACTAACGGAAATCCTATGCCGGGTGTTACCAAATATAGATAATTCTATCCTTACAAGTACGTACAAACTCTACGTACCAGGGCGGCCTTCAAAACTACGGGCGCCACTTAGGTTCAATATGTACGTACAATGTGCAAATATGCAATGCATGGTCAAAATTTTTTATAACAATAGCACTATAATAGCCCTATGCGTTGACGAAGTCACGCTAGGGTTATTATCGCGAGGATAACCTGATTTGTGGCTTATATGAAATT